CGTTTTATTGAATAGACAATATTCAAGTTTGTGGAACCGGAGAATTCGCTCTATCGGAGGTGTCATGAGCAAGTGCCAACGTGGATTCCAGGAACGGGAAGGGTGTAACGAGAGTATTGGGATTCTCAGAAGCGCAATCGATGTGGCTAAAGGACAAAAAAAACACTTGTCAGTAGCTTGGCTTGATCTGACAAATGCGTTCGGCTCAGTCCCGCATGAACTGATTGAGGGTACTCTCAAAGCGTATGGATTCCCCAAAATAGTCGTCACAATCATACGGGATATGTACAATGGGGCTACGATCAGAGTCAAAAGCAAGACCTACAAAATCGATCAAATCCACATCAAATCCGGTGTAAAACAAGGAGATCCAATCTCAAGCACCTGGAAGAGTCATCCGGTCATCGATGTCTGTCCACAAGAATCAAGATTCTGGCGTTTGCTGACGATATGGCGATTTTGGCCGACTCAAAAGAGCAACTTCAACGTGAGCTGACAGCAATGGACAAAGATTGCACACCGCTGAATCTTATTTTCAAACCAGCAAAATGTGCAAGTCTCATCATCGAAAGTGGAAATATTTTCTGATTCTACAAATACCTCGGCGTCAAAACAGGCCTAGAATCAAGAGTCTCTGAAATCGATCTCATCAAGTCTGTTATCACTCGGCAAGGTAAACCGGAGCCCCCTCGCACCACCACAAAAACTCAAGTCATCCGTCAAGATCATCCACCAAATCCCGGTCAGAGGAACACCACTCGAATGTATCCAGCTGCCAATCGGAAAAGGAGGTCTCGGAGTCGCATGTCCACGAATCACAACAATGACCACGTTCCTAGTCTCAACACTCAAGAAGCTTTGGTCAACGGACAACTAAATTCGAAAGTTGTACAGAGAATACTTAACTGAAGTTGTCTCCTGTGAAATTGGAAAGCTGAAGAATGACGTGACAGTCGCCGACATAGTCTCAAGTTTGTCGTCAAAGATGACAACCTGGCACTGATGGTCCAAGCGACAGACAAGTCAAAAATCAAGACATTCGAGGAGTCCCAGGTCGAAAGACTACAACAACTGTTGAAGAATGAGACCGTTGCCGCCCAACTCCACCGATTCCTCACAGAGAAGAAAGTCAAGAGCGAAGTGGTTGAGGTTATCCTGCAACATCCGGCCAGCACCAAGTTCGTTAGGTCTGGAGGAAAAGTGAGTCTCGCCAGCCACCGGTTTGTGCATCGCGCTCGGCTGAACCTTCTGTCTTGCAACTACAACACCTACGACAAGACATTGACCAAAGCCTGCCGAAGATGTGGATACCCGTCCGAAAGCCAATGGCACATACTTCAAAGCTGCACATTTGGACTTGCGAAGAACATCACAGCTCGTCACGATGCAGTTCTACACAAGATAAAGTCCCTTGTCGAAGTTGGTGACAAGAAGGATTGGACGATGCAGATCGACCAAGAGATTCCAGGCTTCACACAGCTACGTCCAGACATTTTCCTGGAAAGTCCGGATGAGAAGAAGGTTCTGGTGGCAGATGTCGCGTGTCCATACGAGCACGGTAAAAGAGCAATGGAAGAGAATTGGAATACGAAATTGGACAAATATCAAAAGGGTTTCCAGCACCTCACGGAACAAGGAATCGAAGTGACTGTTCTACCCATCGTCATAAGTTCCCTTGGTACATGGTGGAGCCCAACGTCCGACAGTCTCACTGCACTTGGCATTCCGAAATCGACCATACGGAATATCATACCCGAGCTCTGTTCCACAGTACTTGAACAGCAAGAATACATACTGGAACCACATACATGGCGAAAAATACACCAACATACCGATTCGTTACGGGTATCTAAAGCCCAATGGTCATCAGTGGAAGAAGGAGAGGACGAAACCCTCTAATCCAGCAACGGAGTAATCCGCAAGGAAGACCACCCGCCAAAAGTCCTGGCACCAAAGAATCGACACGCCAAAAGATCTGGTTAGATGGATAAGGAGTGCAATCCATCGTGTGTAATGGGATCGCGTCACTACAGTTCGCTGAAGATGATACGTGGTTCAAGGATCCGAAGTCAGACCTGGAAGTATGACCTCAACACAACGCGCCGAAACACCAAGCACAACGAGCCGAAATGCCAAGCACAACGAGCCGTACCAACAAGCACCACGCGCCGTAACACCAAGCACCCCCCCCCCCAGATTGAAAGGCCTTCTCACCTTTTCTTTCTGTACATCCCCACAGATACGGTACATCTGTGGCGGCCTAGGATTTGGATCAATCCCATGACTAAATGATCCCCACGAAAGTGGTAAGGGTTCTGGGACAGCCCATAAGGTGTCTCAAACGAGACTGAGTGAGAGGTTCTTAGTATTTCCTTGCTCGGTCTCAAAAACATGCCAAAAGTTCATGGCACTGTCCACGACAAGCCAACGGTACCTCGGTACCAGGCAACGTCGAAAACCAAACGGTCCTCACTCATTAGTCCAATTTTCGAAGTACTCCATCCGAACCAATTGCTCTCTCACCAGGCAATTATTGGTAAGGGGAAGAGCAAGCCGAATTCACGGAGAGTGAGAACAGGTACCCTAATCTTGAGGCCCCTGGACAAGGTCTGGGATGGATGGGAAGGCCGCGAGGCTTGAGGTGGGTAACTGGTCTCTGGTCACCAGCTTCGGCTGATTGAATCATTGACTCCCTTTGATGGGAACAGGAATCCTGTGAAACAGTGAGATTAACAACACGACGAGAGAGATGTTCTTCGGATTTCCTCTCTCATAAGTAGGGCTGGTGGAGGTTATAGCCGTTCCACGGATTCGCCGTCTAGCAACCACTAAACCAGTGGAAAAGCGGGCGGACAAATCTGTGGTTCGGTGTTCCCTTCACCTGACTCGCCATCATTATAATACCGCTCCTAGAGCACAACATAATGGCCCCTCCTTACTAATGTCCCCAGCGACTGGTGGTCCCTCTTCATAGGGGGTTCTTGCCACTATCGCGCAACAGGCTCGCCTTGAAAGGCTGAAATCAAAAATAAGAAATCGACTTGGGACGACAATGCTGAAGGTAAAAAACCATAGGTAAGTTTTTTTTCGAATATTATATTTTTCGGCTCTAGTATGAAACTCTGGTCCTTAAAAAACGTTCATGACCTAGAAAAAACATGGGTCATGATCTAGAAAAATCGAAAAATCTAGATCATGACGTCGAAAAAAAGGTCATGACCTAGAAAAAATTAGGTCATGACCGAGAAAAAAATGGGTGATGACCTAGAAAAAATTGGGTCATGACCTAGAAAAAATTGGGTCGTGACCTAGAAAAAATTGGGTCATGACCTTTTCTAATCAAAGCAATTTTTGATTTTCAGAACTCCCAACAAAGACAAAATGTCACAAAATCACGGATGAAAGGAGGACCTAAGCAGTCCAGAAAACTTCAATAATTCTTGAAATGCTCGTGATCTGGCTCCATGGACTGCGACACAAAAAAGATTAAGATTCAGAGATGAAACAATAAGAAGGTGACTTTGAAAATTTTAAAGTCTAATCAAAAAAAAATTTCCAGATCTTCAACTAGCTGCTCAAAGGATTAAATTATTTTTTCAATGAACTCAAACGAAAATTTGGATAAAAACTTGGAAAATAATGATGATTTGAATGGAAAAAGATCGACAAAATTCAAAAGGATAGCTACAGTTTTTTTTTAAACATTTTAGTTTCTTTTCCTTATCTCTCCCCCTTTTGCAGTTTCTTCTTTCTTTTCTTCTTTTCTTTTTTTATATTTTTCCCCTGTCATCTTTTTTGTCACCAACATTTTTTAAATCTTGGATTTCTAGATCTCCCTTTTCCAACTTTCTTAACGATCCTTTCCTATCAGTTAACCTGACACCCATTGTACCACCAATTCTTATCCATGTATACGCAAGTGTAATTCGTGTAGTGAAGGAGAGACTCGGAAGGAACAGGCTCATCTGGTTCTCACTGGATTGCGTCCTGTAATAAATCCTAAAAGTCAAGATGGTTGTCGCTGCAACCTCTCCGTACTCACTACACTAGAAATGAGTGTTGACACCTTACTTGCTACATGGCGCATTTTTGTACTTTGGTTCAGTCAGCTTTGGATGAGGAACAGAGATTGTTCTAGTACCTTTGACATTGATTCTAAGAATTTTCATTGATTTTTTTTCAGTTTTGGATTGAATTGGAACTTTATTACAATTTATTGTTCATTTTCAAAGTATAAAAATGAGGTTTGCAATACATGACCAGCAAAGAAAAGAAGGATGAAAAAAGTGAAAAAAGTGAAAAAAATGTTTACAGATATCTCACAAATGTTCATTATCCAAATTGGCTTTTTGCAGCTCCATAGACCCCTGAACATCTGATTTTCGTACTCTATTCAAATTATCGGTCTCTTTCTGGACTTGAGCACTTTTCCATCTGTTTGAGATCCTTTTTGAGAGCCGTTGTTTCTCTGAAAATGTTCACGTTTGAAGTACAATAAATTTGAAGAACTAACTTTTTCTACTCCAATTTCAACTGCTTTATCCTTGACTGTTGCTTTTTCTTGCTCCAACTGAGGTCACCTTCTCTCAAGGCAGAATGAGTTACCACTATAATTTTGGTACAAGGAGAACTACGTTCAGGACTGTTCCCTGAAAAAAAAAACACATTTTGCGTTAAGACTGAACCTTAAAAATTACCAAAACAGCGTAAAGCAGAATAGTTCCGATATTATCGATGAATGCGCGACCCTTCAATGCGTAGGCAGATTCCAGAATGATTGATGGGAGGAGGTAGAAGAAAATGACTTTTGTACTAAAATCCAAGAATTTGATGGAGTGTCATCGCCGCTGAAAAATGAAACAGGTCACGGATTTCTGAATATTTGGAGGCTCACATGAAGACGAATCCGAAAATGACGCCAATGATAATCAAGCAGCAGGATTCACATTTCGTTAATAAACTACTTTTCTGTATCTTTTTTAGGGACCGAGGTAAATTGAGTCAGCGTTGACAGCAGGCTTGGTCGGAATCGGAAAATCGAGTTCTCGATTTTTCCGATTTTCCGATTTTTTTCGGAAAAGTTTTCCGTCGGAAAATTTTCCGAATTTTTTTTCGGAAAATTTTTTTTGACGGAAAATTTTCCGATTTTTTTTCGGAAATTTTTTTCCGTCGGAAAATTTTTTCTCGAAAAAATCATGCTGCGTTCAAAGTGAAGAGGAAATCTCTACTTTGTATAGTTGAAACGGGTGCAACAGTAACCCAAGCGCGGCGAGACCCGCAATCGGTGTCGATTTACGGGGTCGATTTAAGGTGAATTTTTTAAAAATTAATTTTTTTTGAATGAAAACATACTTTAGTCAGGGTTTTCATTACTTTTTCAACATTTTTTTCGGTTTATACTGTTCTGGACGAAAGCAACCAGTCAAGAAGTCTTTCCAACACTTTACCGGCTTCACCTTCGTTTTTTTTCTGCTCCTGCAACAACGGCCGAAGCAGAAAGGTTATTCTCGTCGGCGAAAAATATTCTCACAGATAATAGGAAATTACTGAACGCAGAAAATTTTTCCAAACTTCTTTTTTTGCAACAGAATGTAAAATTGATGGGATTTCATCAACAAAATTCAAAAAATAAATAATACTTTTGTTACTTCTTGTTACTTGTGCTTGTTCATCTATTGTTTTCCATTTCATTTTTGTGCTTTTTGTTTTTTTTGTTGTTTTTGTCAAATAAACTGGTAATTTTTGACTAATTGAAATTCGAGAAAATTCGAGAACTCGATTTTCCGAAAAAAAAGTCGAGAAAAAATTCGAGAACTCGATTTTCCGAAAAAAAAAGTTGAGAAAAAATTCGAGAACTCGATTTTCCGAAAAAAAAAGTCGAGAAAAAAATCGAGAACAAGATTTTCCGAATTTGTTTTTCCGAACAAGCCTGGTTGACAGTATGAAAATTTCAATTGAATGTTTTTGAAATTGCGGTATTATGGACAATTTTAAAAATTAGAAAATTTTACGAACTCCAACTTTAAATGACAAAATCCAAACTGTTCGAGATAATTTACAACCAAAAAAATTCTAAACACTTGAAATTTCCAAATTTCAAAAAAAATAGATTTCCTAAAACTCGTACGTAGACTCTTTGATATTTTAATGGCTAAAATTCATGTTTTCTAGATTTTGCTAAGAAATTTGAAAATTTGAACTTCCATTTTTTCAGAAAAATAGACGAAAATTCAAATTCCGAAAATTCAAAAATTAATGAACTTGAAAGTTCGAAGCCTTATTGAAATTTTTTTAAATGTCAGAAAACTCGAATTTCTATTTTGAAAATGTCTAAAATTTAAAAATTCGAAATTCAAGAAGTTCAGAAATTAAAAATACTGTGTTCCTAGAAGTTTGGAAATTCAAATAATTCGCAAAATATTGAAACCAATAAATTTAAAATCAACAACAAACTTCTCAAAAAGATTCAGAAGCTAGTAAATCTCATTAAACTGGGAATTGTAAAATTCTCTGAAATTCGAAAACTTCTAGTCTTTTAAGACTTTGTTTTTAAACTCATTGAAAAATTTTGAAATCTTGAACTCACCTTTTTTAAAACAAAAATTCAGGAAAGCGGAAGTTAGGAAAATCCACAACCCATTCATTCATAGAGTTTGTTGAAATCACCAGGAATAAACAGAATTAAAAGATACTCAGAAAAAATATTGGAAAGTTTCCAGAACCCATTAATTTATAAGATTTTCTCTGGAAACTTCTCAAAAAATGTAGACGTCTATGCAGTCAAGTCGTCACAGGAGTATGTAGAAATGAAGCATACATTCAGCTTACTCACATATGTTTCTTTCTATTTCTCTGCGTCTCTTTTCTCTCCCCACATAACGAAAACAAAGGTTGCGTTGTAGTGAGAAGAAGTGATAGAGGCTGCCTTGAAGCTATGTGTCACTTTTTGTGGAGTTTCGAAAAATTAACTTTGGTTTAATTACCGAACACTCTAATAGAACGCTACCAGACCGTCTACTTTGAAACAATATATTAGGTTGTTCAATAAATAGTGGTCACTTTTCTTCAAGTAGTTTTTTCTTCAAGGAAAACAAGAATCATTGAGAAATTATTTCGCCATTGGAGTTCATAACTTCTTGCCAGCGCAACGGAAGTTGGGCAATTCCGTTCGCGTAGAACTCTGGCGACTTAGAGGCAAAACAGTGTTCCAAAAATTTCTTGACATCCTTCCGATCATGGACTTTCTCACCAGCAAGACGATTCTGGAGAAATCGGATATGGTAGTAATTAGCTAGTGCCAGGTCGGCGGTGTACGATGGGCAATGCAAAACTTCGATTCCTAGAAGATGGAGTTTGTAACGGCTCTTCGAATATTTGTGTGGTTTTTCGTTGTCATGCAAAAATTTCAACACTGAGCCTCTCTAGAGGTGAGAGCGATGTGCATAAATACCACTTTCTATTTGAAAGCAATAGCGCCAAAGTTGATGACATAGGAATCCGGAAGCAGCTTGCGGTATTTTACTTCAGCACTGTCTAACCGAATCGGAAAAATCTGATTTTTCTTGAAGGTTGCCTTTTGAGACCGATTCTACCGTTTCCTTTGCAGAGAGCCATAGGTGCTTACTGGCATTGTTAACATACAGTACCCGTTCATCATCTCCAATGATTGTTTTGTTGACCCAGTCCGTCGTCGGTTTCCTGGAGAGGAAAGAAACGGACAGGTCTCATAGGACCTTTTTCTAAAAATTGGTCAAAATGTGGGGAACGATTTGATCGACTCTCCGAGCTCTTCCCGTTTGAGAAACATGATCTGTTACGGTGCTATTAGAATGGTGGGCTGTCAAAGATAATGCACGTAAAGTAGCACAGAGCTTTTCCTCCAGTATCATTAAAATATTTTCATTTTTATTAACGCTAGGCCTTTTGGGTATTGGTTTATGATCCAGATCATAATTTTCTTATTCGAATCTTTTGAACCAAATTTCAATCGTGGTTCGAGAGATGAGGTCTACGTCTAACATTTTGCACTCTGCTCGCTAATGGTCGTTGTTCGAGAGACCTTGGAAACATATGCTCAAAGAAACACTTTTGAGTATGTGTCCGTTATCGAGAAAATCCTCGGCCGTTAGACAGTTCATTCGGAATTTTTAAATGTCTATTAAACATGCAATGTGTGACGTCTATAAATATAAAAACAGAATTGAAAAAAACCCAAAATTGGATAAGCAACGGTAGAGCGAAGTGAAAGTGACCACTATTTATTGAACAACCTAATATCTCACTTCTTTGGAAAGATATCAAAAAGTCGTTAAAATGTTTATCATGATATCAGCAACATTTCATTAATTAATAACTTGTTGATATCTCTCACAGAAAATGAGACATGGGCTCAAATTTGACGATCTCATTTTCTGTGAGAGATATCAACAAGTTCACACATTTTAAGGATCTACTTCAACGGGAGTCAAGGACAATGTATCTAGTTCGACTCCAACTACCATAACTCCGACTACTGAAGACATTTGGGGTTTGCTGAAAGCTGGGGTTAATGAACTGGAGGGTGTCACAGTGCTCAGAATCCACTGCTAGTACAAAGATCTTACCAGCAACACCTCTGATATCGACTACCGTTTCAACAGCTTCCACCACCACGACGTCTGCTTCTACAAGTGTATCAACTTCCCTGAGAACATCGACATTGTCTAGCTCAAGTTCCTCGACGACGTCGCCAAGAAAGGTTTCAACTTCTTCTGATTCGACGTCATCTAAATCACGGATGTCTTCAACAACCTCTTCGTCGACAACAAGTTCCACCTCCATCGCAGAGAAGTCTACTACACCAATTCCTTCAAAGACCGCGTCGGCAAACATTCAGACGCCTCAACCCACAGTTGCCTGGTGCATCTACCCTCCAACTCCTTCTAAAGGTTCCCTCTACCCACGCAACGACACTCCGCTATCCCGCTCGGCGCGCGCACAGTTTAAATTTAGTTTTGAGTGATTACGAGCTTGGGTTTGGCTCGTGGTTGTTCTAGAGACTCTTTTAAGGATTTCAAGTGAGTTTGCTTGAATTCTAAGCTTTTATTTGTTGTTTCTTTCTAACTTGTTCATAATAAACCGATTTCGTTACATTTCTTGTTGATTTTCTTCTATTTTATCACAGGAACCTGATACCCCGGACATACCGCGGGCAATTCCACACAACACCAGCAATTTCTTCATCTTCAGCAATTTTGTTTACTACATCAGCGGCATCTTCCTTCACTTCTCTTGCTTCCACTTCTCCAGCTCTAACCTCCACCTCATCCTCATCTTCAGCCAGTAAAACTTCTGAAACTCTCCAGAGAACATCGGGAACACCATCTGAACCAAGCACCAGTGAAATGACATCAACGAAATCATCGTTTACTGAAACAACCTCATCTGCATCTCCTGATCCCAAATCCTCATCTAGCTCGATTAGCATCGCATCAGAACTCATGAGTACTCTCTGAAACAATCCACTGAAACAATAATGGGATCGTCAACACCTCTGAAAGTCGAGCCAACTACAGGTGGATCGACATCAACTTTCATATCAACTGCTGCGGAATCTACATCAACTGAAGAAACAAGATTAACTTCTTCTGCTGAACCTCAACCATCCACAACATCCCCTACTACTTCCGACATGCTCACTTCCGAAAAATCCTCAACGTCCCATCCAACTACCACCGATTTCACATCTTCCATCATGCCTGAATATTCTTCCTCAAAAGATCCAGTGACAACGCTGGATGACGGAACAACTCAAACCACTTCAGAACAATCAGAAACCAAGCCTACGACGAGCGAGACTCAGAAATCGACAGAAGCTTCCGCAGCGACTTCTTCTCCGAAAGCAGAGAATTCTTCAAAGATCACTTCCACGGCAACGTTCACAACTTCTACTCAATAAATCTCAACAACCCCATCATCGACAATCCCGACTCCGGAAACCTCAAAAACCATTCCTCAAACGTCAAGTACGGAGAACCCAAGCTCATCTACAACCACTTTGTCGAAACAGACAGTCTTCCACGACCTCCACTTTTACGAAGTCTAAAACTCCAAACCTTCAACAGTTTCCAAGCAGACCTCCACACCCAAAAACACCACCACCGACCCCCTCTGCTCCCAACAATGTCCTGATGGTTACCTTATCGGAACATCGTACTGCTTCCGATTGTTCCCTCGACTCGTTTCTTACCAGTCAGCTCTGGCTTACTGTAAAACAATTGATCGACAAACGCTGGCTTCGCTGGACAAAATCAAAGACAACTCGGATATCAAATTGATTCAAGAGAGTGCTGCACTTCAAAATATCGATTGGATTTATGCGAATGGAATTGGAGCAAAAGATGAGAGATTTTTGAAGAAAGCGTCGGTCTACAGTATTTACAACCAGTCACTCGTTAGCTCGCCAATTGTGAAAACCATTGGAATATCCCAGTTGTTCACGAATATCTCTGCGCTCTGTGTGATGCCGCGTAAGTGTAATTTTCTCTAAAAAAAAAAATTAAAATGGAAGAGCTAATTATCAGAATACTGTAATATGATGGATTGTGATGTGGAAAAGATCTTCCAGGCCTACGAATTCTACAACAACTTCAAACAGACGGCAGGAACTCTGGAACCCAGAAGATCTGGTACTGTCACTTGCATTTATGGAAATCAGAAGAGCACAACTGTCACTTGCAACACTCTTGGAGCAATCTATCCAAACCCAACGAACATTGATTGCGAGGAATCAGCAACGGAGAGACAACTGAAGGATACCACGAATGATCTTGTTTCCGATTGTAAAGCCTGCTATAAAAGAGGAACCAAAGAATGTCAGAAAGTCATGGACGAGACTAACCAGGATGTGAAAGGCTATCAATGCATTTGCAAAGAGCCTTACTCGGTAAACAAATCTAGAGAGAAATTTTGAATTCCCGTTTTTCAGATGTCCACATGTTGGAGGACCGTCAATAACTGTAACTCGACAATATGTGGAGACCATGGGACGTGTATGAGTGAGATGGGGCACATGTGGTGTGATTGCAAATGGGGATACACTGGAGACCATTGTGATGAGGCTCTGGATGAGAAATATGATGGTGACATTGGCTTCTCGTCCGCTGTTGGAGCCACGATCACGATTGGCGATGGAATATTCCGATTTCTTAAAATTTGTGTTATGGGACTACTGAAAGGAGATGGAGGATTTGTGTGTTCACCGTCGTGGTTCTGAAAACTTGCTTCTGTTTCAGGATCCACAATCCACGCACCAAACATTCCGATGGGTGTGCATACTGTGTGCAAATGCTCTCATCACTCTCTACAGTAACCCAACTCTTCTCGCAATTCCACTTATTCAATGCCGCTTCACTTTCATTGCAATCCATTTCTTCTACGTTCAAGGTAACTACATCATAACTTATAGCAACTCCATTCTAAAATTTTCAGCAATGGTTCAATGGCTACTAGAGGGATTCAATGTGAACCAAGTGCTTCGTTGTGTTCATCTCAACGAATGGGAGCGAGATATCCATGGGAACAAATCACTGGGTGTTCGGATTTGGCCAAGATTCATTGTATCAGTTTTTGGAGTAGCTTTTTTCGTGCGGATTCCGTTCACAGCCGGATGGAACAAACTGGCCGCTTCCTGGACGTGTGTTGGGGTCATTTGTCAAGAAACACTTCATGTTTGGTTTCCAATCTTTTTTTGGTGTCCTCGTGATTGTTCTTTGGGCAGGCGATGTTTATGAAAATAGCGCTCTAATAAAAGTGTGAGTTTAAAAAACCTGCCCGCTTTTGCGGTGTAGATTTTGATATTCTTCAGTCGTCGCCCACTTCTTGGCTTCCGACTAGATTATGAGATTGAGAGAAGAGTAGGATGGGAAGCTGGCAAGATATTTCAAAAATGCCGGGACGATGAGTTGATGTGCTTTATTGGTGTTATTTTCCTCGTCGCTCAGTGGGTGTCTGTGATCATTTCATCCCATCACCGAGACGAGAAATTTTATGGAATGTGAGTTAGAAAACTAATGAGTAAATCGAAATCATCTGTTTCAGGATCACCGTTGTCGTCTCTGGAATCTACTTTGCCTTCTCCACCTACCAGGAGATAATGACGAACCCTGAGGTGAGCACCTTGAAAAAAAAATGTTTTTCAAAAGTTGCAAATGTTCAGGACCGTGCCAATTTCTACACCCTTTTGCAACGATTTTTGCCTTTCCGTGCCGCTCCAGCTTACAACCCAGAAACCACCTGGACGATCGACGAGGTGAAAGAATATTTCAACACTCCCAAAAAGGAACGAGAAGAACAATATGAAGGATTCATCAATCGAAATCAGCAGCTATTCATTCATCATAAATTGGACATCAGGATGAATGAATTTTTGGCCGAGGATCCCAAAATGACGATTGATGAGGCACTGATCAAAGTCTTCACAGCAGAGATGAATGACTTGAAGAAAAACAATGGATCCGGAAGAGAGAAATTGTATATCCAGTGAGTTCTAATGATTTTTTGACAGCCTTAATGAAAACCTGAATAACTTTCAGAGCCACATTCGTTGCCTACTGTGACACCATCCCGCATTTCGAGCCAAGACCTACAGAAAAGCTTCAATGTCCAATCTGGAACTCGTCACCCGAAGGAGAATGCTCAAAAACATTGAGGAGGTGAATTGAAAAAAGTTCTAGAAGGTTCTAATGTTTTTTTTTCCAGGACATCTTCAAACTGAGCCGCGAGGAAATCCATGCCCAAGCGGTGTTCGCAAACTCTGCAATTTTGTTCTCCCACTATGGAAATGACGTCGTTCGCTTATCTGCCTATGATTCGTGGGGTTGGGCTTCGTATTACATATTTTGATCAGTCTAACAAGTTTTTTTTGATTGATTAAACATTCGTTTTGTTATTAAACTTCACTTTTCTTCTTACAAAGAACATTCAAACCTACCTAAATAAAATACTTTTATACTTATACTTTTATAGTTTTATACTTTTATAGTGACAGTGAAATCTAGTTGTGAGATCTGACAATGATTTTGGAAAGTAATGTTTTCCCAAAACTTTTGCATCAACATAATGAAAAAATCTAAAAAAAGCAGGCAACTTAATGATCTTACAATACAAATTTCACAAATTATTTCGTCTCCTGTCCACTAATGGTTTGGATTCGATATTTGGTATATTGTCTTTCCTGTGAAGATCCACATCAAAACGACCGTACTTCCGGTTATTCTCCTCTCTGTCTGCTTCATACTCTCGAATTGATTCTATTTGGTGTGCAGTGAAGCAATCGGCAAGCTAAACAAACATTTTCCATTTATTCTAATCAGTCGATTATTCTTGAACTAAAAATTGGAGATGTTGAAGATTCTTGTGGGCGTGACCAATGGTCTTAGAAACGAGAACCACCGTGACCAAAAAAGTTTGCGACACATTAAGTTTTGGCCCAACATGCCCAAAAATTAGAAACAAAACACACCCCATGTACACTCAATTTTGAGAAGACACCTGCATGTCTTCCATTTTTGCATGAAAAGGCTCCACATTGACAGCCGACCTTGTCCAGTCCGACATAGCCGCTACCGTAGTTTAATGTCAACTGAAAAAATATTGTTTTTTTATTTTAGAACCAAGAATTGACTTACCTGCTCTCCGGGCATTATTGCTTTGGTAGAGTACATAACCATTTTCGCATGAGCTGGGCTGAAACTTTTCTGATAGATTCTCACTGGTTCCAGATTAGCTACACAAGAGTGCATCAAGAATCGACCTTTGTTTCCTTGATGGAGGCAATCCAGAAAAACGTCTTCTTTATATGATTGTCTCAGTTGTTTCAGGAACGTCGCAGGGAAAACTTTTTCTTTCGCAAGCAGAGCCAGAAGATATTTGATGTCTTCCATTTTGTCGCTTAATTGCATGCTGTAGTCCAATGCGTCTCCCTCTACATAGCGATCTCGAACGAGTTCTCCAATAAACTCCATCACTGGTGTTCCCGCTGGAATATAGGAAGTCGCTCGAACTCGGAATCCAATGAGGTCACTTTTCCGATAGATTTCCGTTGGGAAGATTTTGGCCTGAGCTATTATGAGTGCGTTGTTGTTACATCGTCCTCCACAGCCGCATATCTCGGAACAGGCGAATCCACCGTGGTTATGATAAGCGGGTGTGTCGCCGTTGTATTCCAGCGGATCGAACGAGTTCTGAATTTCAAAAAAGACAGAGCATAGTAAGTATGTATTCATCGCAACTCACAAATACGGTTTTATTGTTTTCAGCAGAATTAAGTTTTCGAAGCATTATATTTGTTTTGTAGCATGGGCAGTTGGAGTTTTCAAAACAGTTTGCAAATCCTCCGGGAGTTATTGGTTTGCAAGGACATTTGATCTGCAACAGTGGAAGTGTTCAGCTAGTCTTTGGCTTTTGTACAACAAGTTTTCTTTTTTTTTTAACTTACATGATTCCCCTCTTGGCTTGCCAATTCCACTATTTTTGCCAGCTCTGGTTCCGTCACTTTGTCGACTATATTATTATCAATGTAGTCGAAACAAATATTTCTCGGAAGTATCAGATTGTGCCAAAGCTCATACGGCCGATCCGAATACATTGGTATTTTGAAATCCGTGTAATTTTCACACCGAGACCATGAAATGTCTGTTGAAATTCGAAGACGTTCAGTTGGTGGAGTGTAGATAAAGTGTTTGTGGGAATAATGTCGCAGCTCTCTGGAATTTTAAAATAATCATTTTTCGAGTTTATATTTTCGTATCAGATTATGAATCGGTGTGTTGGTTTCTAATCAGAAAACCAGAAAGGTAAATTTTAAAATCTTAATTTTTTTCTAAAACAGAGCCTATAAGAAAAAAACATGTGTGAAAAAAGACTTACGTTGGAAGAGTCGCGGAAAGAACGAAAGGCCTCATTTCGCACCATGCCTGCGGTGCTCCATAATTTTCCAGAGCTCTTAGGGCTAAATGGTACGATCTTTTATGGATCTGTTCCACAGAATCTTCCCTCAGAACGAAAACATTCGATAAACCAAGTTTTTCCACTCGGTTTTTCAATCTGACTCCTTCACAGTATAGGAGATATTTATCATGGTGATATATCACTTGTGCACTATCTTCTGTGAGCCATTCTATCTTTTTATCAACTGTCCGCTTGACATATGGGTGGTATCTTGACGATCTCCATTCTCGAACCTGAAACAAAAATACCGTTTAAAAATAAGAAAACTCTGATTGTATACTCACCATGTTAGGATTAACATTTCTCTCGTCTTCCAGAATCACCGCGAAATGTGGTTTTTTGTTCATCTCCTCTTCTGGTTCTCTCTCTAGGACATCTCCTCCATTGAGCTAAAAATTAATGATTTCTTTTTGAGGAATATTACCAAATGTCTGTTCTCCAAATATTTGGTTAATTAAAAAAATTAATTTAAACATCGACATTTTTATAGCACTTCAGTTGCTACTTTTTCTTTTTGAGCCGATGCATCAAGAGTGAAAAATCCTTTGCGGTCAAAATTAGCCGGTAATTCCCTATTTGAGCATTTGCGAGTTATTGACGCTAACGGAATCTCAATTTTTGATTGGCCCGCATAAATGCTTTCCTCTTCCATATCTCATGTTTTTTGTGCTAGAATAATAACATAGAAAATAGGATTTTCCGAGATTTTCTATACAATTTGTTTTCTAAATTCCATAATTTATTTTTCGTCAAAACTTACTGGAAAATGGATAGCAGGAATGATTCCGCGGTCTGGACCTTTGCCTCGTATTCGTTTCTGAAAACTAACAATTGAAAAAAAAAGAATTCGAAAACCGAGAACCCACCCAGCGAGGCTCATCATAACGGAGCTCTGGTAATTCTTTATATGACATTTTTGGAGAACAGAAAGTTTCCGGTTGTCTTCTGAAAAGTGTGTATAAGCATTCTGTCTGCGAGGACTAACTGAGATTGAGAGACCCCTCAAAGTTATTCAAACGAGAGTGTCAGGAGGAGAAAAGAAATAAAGAGGGAAAGAAAGAATGGGCAACATTCTCAATGCATAGAAAATCGAAGAGCATTATCAGACGGAAAACGTCATTGAAGTGATGGCGATTACGATCATACGACAGAAATATTCAAAAATCGGTATGTATTGTGTGGATATCCAGAAAGTTTGAAAGTTCCAGAAAATTTGAAAATTCGTGAAACTTTCGAGAAAACCAGCATTCTTGATAATTCAGTATTTAAAATTTACAATTTCCGGTCCTAATTTGTAATCAAAGTATTTTGAATTAATTCTCTTTCTTTACAATAAAAAATCAAGTATTCCGAAATGATTTTTAGAGTTTTTAGAAATAAACAGAACATCGAAGATAACCAGAAAAGTCAAAAAGAAAGAGATAATTTTCGAGAAAATTTAGACGTCTATTTAGTCCAGTCGTGAAAGAAGAAAATATGTGTTGAGTTGTTTTGGAGACAGACGGGCGAATCGATCGTCATCGAGTTCTCAGGGTCTCTTTTTTTTTTTAAATTTGACCAGTATGAACTGAATTAATGAATTGGGCATTGTGATGAATTTTTCGGTTTTCCACAATTACAAAAGTTTGCCCACTGTCTCACTTTCTGTTCGATCTGGAACATCTCTCGCATCACTTCGCGTCGGAACTTGATGGTGTCGTAGATGCCTCGGTTGCAGGCCATTGTTGTAGGTAGTTGTTGCTTTTGGATTTCTGCAATATTCGTAACGTTAGTTGTTGAATGTGGTTGCATGCACGGGAACATCTACTTCTTACTAAGGAAGCATTTTTTTTTGGTGAATCACTTCAATTTCGATCATGTAGCCTACTGCAAATGTGTGTTTTAGTAGTTTTCTTTTTCCTACAGACATTAAAAAATTGCAGAAAATTTCTTAGAAAATCGTAGATAATTTCATAACATTCCATAACATTCAAAAGATTTCTAGAAAATTCAAAATATTCTAGAAAATTCCAGAAAGTTTTAGGAAACTCCAGAACATTCCAGTACATCCTAGAAAATTCTTGAGGCTTCTAAAAAATTCCAGAAAGTTTTGCAACATTCTATAACAATCCAGAAATATCTAGAAAATAAAACAAAAAAAAAATTCACAATTTTCCAGAAAACTCAAAAAAAATTCTAGAAAATTTTAGAAAGGGCTCGAAAAATCCAGAAATTTCGAGAACATTCTAGAAAGTTCCAGAAAAAATCTTTAAAACTAAATCTTAAATCTTAAAAACTGAAAATTTTTTGAAAGAGATATTTTTCCGTGAATCACTCAAATTTCAATCCTGTGGCCTACTGGAAATTGGTCATAGTAACATTTTGATATCAAGAAGCTCAGAAATTCAGAAATTCGGGTATTTAATTTCAGTTACCGTATTTCGCTTCAATTGAAGGTTTTCTGTTTTCACCAAAAAAAAAAGAAACATCACAGCCAGGATGAGCTATTGGAGGTGTTCTCCAAGCAAAGTTGGTTTTCAATTGGATGTGTCTATTACAGAAAATACGGTATTCAAAAATTCCGATATAAGGAAATTGAGAGTTTTAAAATAAAAATGAAATTTCGGACACATGGAAGGTGGGAATTTCTGAAATCAGAAACTCAAGTGTAAGATACAATAAACAGAAGCCAGGAGGTTGAGCCGCCGGCAGGGGGCTCAAACCTAATGTTTTACTACACATGATAAATAAATAAATTAAACCGACTGGTAATATGTATTTGACGATTGCACTCACAAGATTGCCGGAAAAGGCTTGCTCACAAACCTTTTTATTTTTCTAGACCTAACAAACCTTACCAGTGTGTTTTGTTCCCAAAAATCAATTGTACAACTCAAAGGATGAATGATTAAAAATTGTTTCAACAAAAAAAAAATATTTCTCCAAAATTGTGAATTTTTAAAAAATCATACCTCTCCAACTGAATGCCATTTTCGGGATTGGTTGGAGTGCCACTTCTCTTACTCTCTCTCTTGAACCACCATCATAGTGGCGTTCTGAATACGCCACAACAACACCACCATATTGATAGAGTCGAGAAGGATTACAAGAGCCGGCCTACCCTGCATGTTTCCTCGTCCATTCATCCGCTCTCTGAAATTGTAGGTGTTTTTTACGTGTAAGTAAATTGGTTCGTTTCTGACGTTTTCCATACGTCTCAGTTCAGCTTCCACATCTTGCAAACCTTCTTTCACCGCAAATATGTATCCTTCAAATGACCCTTTAGTCGTTCTCAACTCCATATTGTATGACATATTTTTCAATTCTTCTATCTCCATCATTGTAGCCGGTCGATTAGATTTCATGAGTTGACGCAGTCTGTGCTCAACAGCTTCTCCATAATCACGAAGTTCTCCATTTAAGAATCCCTCCAAAACCTCTCTATGTCTCGGATGGTGTCCTTCCCTCATGATCTCTACCATCAAGTCTGCTACAGACAGCTTCAAACTGTTTTTTCGGGAAAGTCGATACAAATGTACCATCATCTCGGTGGTAAAAGCCATCTGAAGAAGTATTTCTGAGAAAGTTAACAAAAATTGATTAAATGAAAGTATTTTATCCAATTCTAAAGGGAGTAAGAAAATAAACTTACATTTTTCTTCTTCTCCGAAAGATCCTGGTGGCGACGGAACCCAGTAGAAATCGTGTTGTCTTTTTCTCATTTTTATAGGTATACCGTAGTAGTGAAAATGGTTGATTGCCAAAAAATATAGACTATTCCAGTCAGTTGTAGGAATAAATAGAGTAATTCAAGAGGTAGAGAATATTCAGGAAAATTGGAAAGGAATTCTCCAAAATCAATTAAGATTTTTGGATGATTCCTGGATAATTTGGACGTCTATTCAGTCAAGTCGTCATGAGGAGAGAATGAATACTAATCGTTGGTTCTGGTGGTTTATATACGCCGGGGGGGGGGGGGGGGCGGAGTCTTTTTGGTCCATTCAGGTGGGGTTGTACTAGGGCGGTCTCATTGAACTGGCTTCACCCATTGACGAGGTCATTCAGAATCATTTGAAAGGCTATGTGTGAGTGGAAATCAGAGAAAGCGACTTGATCGTCCTTTTTGATCTTCATCTAATGAGACAGGTTGATGGATTATGAGTAATTTGCGCCCTTTGCTATGTCATGATGTGTGTAGTTGGAGGAACGTTCTTTTGTACAAGCTTCAGGAGGTAATTGTGCCGCAAAAATCATTGTGATATGTGTCCGTGTTCAACCGTGATTTTGAGTACAAGAATGATGAATGGGAAATAAATATTTTTCGAATTTTTTGAAGAAAAAAAAATCATTTCTGTGATAACCTTCTTATTTATGGAAATGTTAAAGGGGGACTCCGACCAAACATTTTTATTGCATTAAAATGTGTTAAAAGTTATCTATTTTCCGCATATTACTGCGAAAAAATTCGAAAAACATCCGAAATTCCCGAAAAACGGCGTTGAAAAGGAAGAAAATTCAAAAAAAGGTGCCGCCGGGGGACGAGGATTTTCAGTGGGAAACCTAGGCCACGGCACCTGACAGCCTTTCCTACGTGGCAAATT